TTAATACTCTTGGGAGTATTTAGGGTCAAAATTAATGCTTAGTCTTATTTTTGAATTTTAATCGAATTTGTGAAATTAAGTTTCAATTTATTTAAATATAAATTAAAAACGAAAACATTCCATTTGGAATGTGGCAATCCGAACGACCGATCAAGCTAAAAAAAGTAAAAAATAGAAACTCTAATTAAAACCCCGTCTTTTTGTTGAAAACTACCTGATCAATAAATATTTATTTCGGTCCCTTCGGGGACATCCGATAAATATTTATTTCGCGGACATGAATAAAAGTTTCAGAGTTTGCTTTAATTTCTTTGCAAATGAATGCATATTTGAAAAATACGATTCACCATCGTGGTTTGATGTCACGTTGAAAACTAGTAACTCAACTTTCTTTAAATACAAAGTTCGAATAATCGTACTTATTAATCGTTCTATAGAATTTTAGAAGCATGAGAGCTGTAAGATCATCTGGGCGAACAAAAAAAATTGACTTCTATAACGACAACTCCTAGAAATTAAATGATTTTATCGACGAATAGTGACGTGTCCTTTGTGATCTAATAAATATAGCCATGAAAAATTGCATATACTTGTAATTAATGGGGCTCTAAGTTTAATTAAGTAATAGAGAGTGGTTGAGAAAATCAAATGCTATCTTAGAATGAAACGTGCGCAAAGAGAAATACTCCGTACTATATAAAGAGCTTTAGATTCACAAGAGTTCCAAGTGAAAAATCTTGCGTCTCTAAGGCAAGCAATAACCTTTGAAATGGCAAAAGTGAGGACTAGAGGCTGCGTTTTATCATCCATTTTTTGTTATGCCTTAATTGGAACTGTAGTCATTGCTAGACATGTGAGAGATAATAACGATGAGTTGGCATTGATTAGTACGGGTGGTATAAAAGGGGGTGGTGGGGGTGGAGGCAGCGGAGGTGGTGGTGGCATTGGTGGTGGAGCTGGTGGCGGCGTAGGTGGTGGAGTAAGCGGTGGAGCTGGTGCTGGCGCAAGTGGCGGAGTTGGAATCGGAGCTGGTGGGGGAGCAGGTGGTGGTGTTGGGGGTGGAGCTGGTGGCAGTGCGGGTGGTGGAGTTGGCGGTGGAGCTAATGGTAGTGCAGGTGGTGGTGGTGGCAATGGAGCAGGTGGTGGAATTGGCGTTGGTGGCGGCGTGGGTGGTGGAGTTGGCGGGGGAGTTTCTGGCAGTGTAGGCGGTGGAGTTGGTGGTAGAGCTGGAGTTGGTGGTGGTGCTGGCGGTGCGGGAGGTGGTGTAGGCGGTGGAGCTGGTGGCGCAGGTGGTGGAATTGGTACTGGAGCTGGTGGTGGTGCAAGTGGTGGAGTTGGTGGGGGAGCTGGTGGTGGCATTGGCAGTGGAGCTAGTGGCGGAGTAGGTGGTGGAGTTACCGGTGGAGCTGGTGGTGGTGCAAGTGGTGGAGTTGGCGGGGGAGCTGATGGTGGCATACATGGTGGAGTTGGAGTTGGAGCTAGTGGCGGTGCAAACGGAGGAATTAGCGGTGGAGCTGATGGGGGAGCAGGCGGTGGAGCTGGTGGCGGAGCAGGCGGTGGAGCTGGTGGCGGAGCTAGTGGTAAAGTAGGTGGTGGAGTTGGTGGCAGAGTAGGTGGTGGAGTTGGCGGTGGAGCTGGTGGTGGTGCTGGCGGTGGAATAGGTGGTGGTGCGGGAGGTGGTGTGGCAGGTGGAGTTGGTGGTGGCGCAAGTGGTGGAATTGGCGTTGGAGCTGGTGGTGGTGCAAGTGGTGGAGTTGGTGGGGGAGCTGGTGGTGGCATACATGGTGGAGTTGGAGTTGGAGCTAGTGGCGGCGCAAGCGGAGGAATAAGCGGTGGAGCTGGTGGTGGTGTTAGCGGTGGAGCTAGTGGCGGAGTAAGTGGTGTAGTTGGCGGTGGAGCTGGTGGTGGTGCTAGCAGTGGCATAGGTGGTGGTGCAGGAGGTGGTGTAGGCAGTGGAGCTGGTGGCGGCGTAGGTGGTGGAATTGGCGCTGGAGCTGGTGGTGGTGCAAGTGGTGGAGTTGGCGGGGGAGCTGGTGGTGGCATACGTGGTGGAGTTGGAGTTGGAGCTAGTGGCGGCGCAACCGGAGGAATAAGTGGTGGAGCTGGTGGCGGATCAGGCGGTGGAGCTGGTGGCAGAGCTGGTGGTGGAGTTGGCGGTGGAGCTAGTGGCGGAGTAAGTGGTGGAGTTGGCGGTGGAACTGGTGGTGGTGCTGGCGGTGCAATAGGTGGTGGTGCGGGAGGTGGTGTAGGCAGTGGAGCTGGTGGCGGCACAGGTGGTGGAATTGGCGCTGGAGCTGGTGGTGGCGCAAGTGGTGGAGTTAGCGTGGGAGCTGGTGGTGGCATACATGGTGGAGTTGGAGTTGGTGCTAGTGGCGGCGCAAGCGGAGGAATTAGCAGTGGAGCAGGCGGTGGAGCCGGTGGTGACGCAGGTGGTGGAGTTGGCGCTGCAGCTGGTGGTGGTGCAAGTGGTGGAGTTGGCGGGGGAGCTAGTGGTGGCATACGTGGTGGAGTTGGAGCTAGTGGCGGAGCAAGCGGAGGAATTAGCGGTGGAGCTGGTGGCGGAGCAGGCGGTGGAGCTGGTGGCGGAGGTGGTGACGGAGCAGGCGGTGGAGCTGGTGGTGGAGTTGGCGGTGGAGCTAGTGGCGGGGTAGGTGGTGGAGTTGGCGTTGGAGCTGGTGGTGGTGCTGGCGGTGGAATAGGTGGTGGTGCGGGAGGTGGTGTAGGCAGTGGAGCTAGTGGCGGCGCAGGTGGTGGAATTGGCGGTGGAGCTGGTGGCGGAGCAGGTGGTGGAGCTGGCGGTGGAGCTAGTGGTGGTGGAGCTAGAGGAGTTGGTGGTGGAGCTGGTGGGGGCGCAAATGGAGGAGTTGGCGGTGGAGTTGGTGGTGGAGCCAGTGGTAGTGCTGGTGGTGGAATAGGTGGTGGTGCAGGAACTGGTGGCAGTGCAGGTGGTAGTGTACGCAGTGGAGTTGGTGCTGGTGTGGGTGGTGGCGTAGGCGGTGGAGCTAGTGGTGGTGTAGGGCATGGTGGCGGTGCAGGTGGTGGAATCGGAGGCGGTGTAGGTGGTGGAGTTGGTGGTGGTGTGGGTGGTGGGGTAGGAGGTGGAGCTGGTGGAGGTGGTGGAGCTAGTGGTGGAGCTGTTGCTGCTGGTGGCGTAGGTGGGGGAGTTCGCGGTGGAGCTGGTGGTGGTGTAAGCGGTGGAGGAGGTGGCGGTGCTGGAGGAGGATTTGGAAACGGAGGTGGCAATGGTGATCGAACTACTCATCATTAGGAGTTTATATCTGTATACATGTTTATTTGAGTTATAATTTAATTATACAATAAAAGCAAAGGTGTGTCGATAATATATCCTATGCCTTATTATAGTGTTCAATAGTAGCTCTTGATTTTTGAATACATCATTTACAAGCAATATGTATTCCAATTATTTTGGTTAAATGCTTAACGTTTTTTCATTTCTTTCAATTGCCATAGATAAGAATTCTTTCATAAGATTCCAGTTTTTTCATGCTTTTCAATTGCCTTAGACAACAATTCTACATACTTCCAATCAGGATTCGATTGCCTTAGAGAAGATGTCCTATTTCAGTTGCCTTAGAGAAGATCTCATATGAATCAGTAGCCAATGAATCATCCTTCTAATAACTGAAATCAAAGTTTAAAAATTCACATTAAGAACCGGTTGAAGATGACATCAATAACCGTTCCACAACCATCAAACATAAAACATCTCATAGTGAGGTCCATTTGGTAGTGGCACTTAAACCGCATATTATGATGACTAATATGTTTAGCAAACTTCCACATCCTATATCATCCTTGGAAGATGATCTTGGACTGCTTTTTAAAGAAACTGAAGTACAAGTGTACAACCTTGTTAAATTACTTGGAAGATAATAACTTAAAATTTTGTTATTTTGTGTAGATAAGCCATATAGGATCTGGTTCCTATTACTGTGAATAGTTGTAAGGCGACATCATTTCAGTCCTTATTCAGCCTATTTTTTAGCTGAGTATCAAGTGTTTTCCATCCAAAGTACTGTAGTGGTCATTGTTCAACATGAGACTGGTATGCCACAAATGCGTGACTTATATGATCTAAATATGTAAGCCTAGAGTTTCACACACACACACATTAGGTAATGACGTAATGTCTTTGCTTAACATCTACTGACTTGAATCATGTGATTATAGAACTTGGATTATGTATACCTGTTTTGATGTTCAGTTGTGTCTCCTCCTATTCTTTTTGTCTACTTTGTTTGTCAATTGTGGAACATAAGCCAAGTACTTGTGAACTCCAGGCTCGTATAGAATCAAAGTACATTATGGGGTGAGTCCAAGTATTACCACTCACACTTCTATTTTGTGCACATTATAAACTAAAACCTTAGAAAAATGTTTCTTTTTATAAAAAGAAACATTGGAATATCTCTTTTATATTATGTACTTGTTTCTTTTTAATAAAATTCTGGTATATACTTGTTTCTTTTTAATAAGTTCTGGTAAATGTTTCCCAGAATTTATCACACCGATTTTGGTGGTTAACCTACCAAGTTCAAAAAAAGAAATATCTATTTTTATATTATAATAGTCTAATGATGCATGTATTAAGTTGAGTCATTGAGATAGTATTTGATTTGTTCTTGTAAAACTAGGAACTCGATTTTGGGATGATCCTTCTGAAAACTCGATTTTGGCTTGAATTCTTTTGATATTATGATCATATGATGTCTGATCTTTACTGCTCGCCATCCATATTCACTTGGGGTTTGATGTGAAGTACTCCCCCGTTCCAAAACTTTCTTTCCACTTCCTTTTTTGGGATCGTGCCATAAATATCTTGCCGTATCCTTCAAAGAAATGGTGTGTAGTTTATATTATTTATTTTCTTTTTACATCAACCACAAACATGCAATTTCACCCCTTCTTAGTGTGTCAAGTCAAATTGGAAAGAAAGGAGCTGAGAATGTAATATGCAGCAAAAGTTTTCCCGGGGTGGGTGGAGTGAGGGGGGGGGGGGGGGGGTTACATAACAAAACATTTTCTTTTTCCAGGAAAAAATATATTCCTATGAAGTATAAACTTGATGTGTGTGATGGAATATTTTTTCACGGCTGAAACCTGATTCTAGGGGGAGAAGGGGGTCATTTAATCAAAATTTCCACATGTGGTTTACAAATGCAATGCAAGACATACACACATACCATACATATACATTAGTGGGCCGGAGCGGGTATACTACTGCTTCCTCCTAATCCCATCTTCTTACCCAGCAAAGCAAGCTGCTCCACGAACTCACCTCCTGTAAGAATCTCTGTGGTGCCGTATATTATATGCTTGACTGGCTGTTGCTGCTGTCGCTGCCGGTGTGCAAGATCCTGCAAGCTACCATACTCTACGTAGTTTCCACCTCCAATCATAAACACTATGGCTTCCTTGAACGGGCCCCCTCCTTTTAGATGTCCCCCACCCCCACTGCCACCTGAAGGAGCGCGGGGATCAAATATAAGGTAATGATCAGTTTCAGGGTTTGGCTTCCCCCCCTCCATCAGGGCTTCCACTGTTCTGGACAAAGCTAGCTGGTGATCACCAGCTAAGAGGTTTTTCACACCAGCGGTCACAGCACTTATTGACTGCCCGTACAGCTTCTCTGCCCAGTCAACAATGTTGTTCCTGCTGGCTGCTGAATTTGCAGAAGCTAAGGAAACGTTTAATGATTTTATTTTTTTCACATACTGGAACGCACTGGTATCGACTTCACACTCTCTTAGTGTGGCTTCAATCATTTCGATCTCTGATTGAGGGATGTTCTCACTTGAGATGATGTAGATGATGGCAAACCGGAGCTTATCCAGCTTTGTCCCTTTCCCTTTTAGCACCCCAAGGATCTCGTTGCGGTCAACTCCCCCACCTTTGACCATCACATCATCCTCTTTTTTTGCATATGTGTCTAGGGACCTCTCCTTGATTTCCCCCAATAGCACTGTCGCGATATTAGTGTGCTTGTCTATCAGTTGCTTTCTTTCGGTCAGCTCAGGCAGTGAATTAACAGCATTCATCAAATGCTTTGTGTTTCCGATCAAATCCGTCCCATCAAACTCAGCCTCATTCCCTCCGGTTCGCCTGTTCACCGCCTCAACGTCCTTTTTATATTTATTCAACTGGTTCTCAATCTCCAAAGCCATTTCTGGGAATTCCAGTGACCCGTTTTCCATCCAGAAAGGATCAGATCTGTCAAGTTCAAAGGATTTTGTCCCCCCACCCTTCTCCCCTTGCACAGTCACCCTATTCAATCTCAGCCCAAGAACATCATGAACGAGGGGTCTGTACCTAAAGTCGTGCTGAATAGCAACAGACAACTCGAAATTCCTATCAAACAAACACAAAACAGGCCTCTGAAAAGAGCTGGAAAAATTCCCGCCTTCTGAAAAAAGGTTATTTTTCACCAATAAGTGGTCCCGCAGTCGCTGATCCAACAATGAAGCCACCATCTCGGCAGGGCCACCACGGGGGCACCTGATGATTGGTACCACAGCAAGTGTCGCCAAAACACAGAATAGCCCGCTCACGATCTTTTCAATGATCTCCTCAATGTTTTTATCACTGGCAGAGGGATCATTCAACTGAACATAGCAATTCTTGTTGGCGAGTGAAAATAAATTGTCTTCGAGTGTCACAAACTCTAAGTACTGATCATGCACCTTTGTTATCCTCTGAATCGAGTCTGAACTAATAGTTCCTGAAGATTATAAGATAAATTATAAATACGCATTATTCAGAAACAGAATTAAAAATTTATAAGATCTTTCAAGAGCAAGAATCGAACCCACTGTTGTATCGAAATTAAAGGGCAAAGGTAAAGGCAATTCGTATGGTATCTTAGCATAGAGTAGTGAGCATGTGATCCATACACAGATGAGACGGACACAAGGTAGGCCTGCGGGATAGTTGTTCCTTGATGTTTTTCTCATTTTTTGTTTGCATAAGCATTTATCATTTACTGTGTATAACTTAAATCCAAAAGGATTACTTTTGTAAGTATCGCTAAGTTAATACGTTCAACTCCAAATCCAACCAGTATATTACTACTAACCCTACTGGATTGATTGATTGCTTACGAAGTATATACTACGTACTACTAGAGTGTGGATGAGTAGTTTTTTCAAACCTTGTGATGGTACTCTCCAGTTTGCTACTCCATTTCCCAAATAATTTTATATTTTATTTAGCTAACCGTGGAGATAACTTGTTCCCTTTGTGACCAAATATACAGCAGATATTTCACAATTAAACAGCTTTAGGAAAAAACAAATCCCCCAATTCAAAGAACCAAAGAAAAAACTTGAGAAATAAGAAAAGTAACGCGAAGGTCTGAATGAAATGTGTGTGTACCTGAGGCAAGATCCTCCAGCAAGGGTCTAGGAATGGAGGAAGAGAAATTGAGATGGAAGGAGTCATAAAGAGACTTGGAGGCGTCGGCGACGATGCGTTGGATGTTGGAGTGGGTAGGCTGGACAAAGTAGACCGCCGGAACGTCATGGACGGGTTTGCGATCCTTGTCGATGAGGAAGTAGAGGGTGACGCCGTGCTTGCGGAGGTCCTTGACGTGGATGAGCGGCGACAATATGTCCTGACAAAAGCGGTCGAAGATGAGGATCTTATACACCTCCTCGTTCGCCGTCCCGCTAGCATTAACCGGCTGATTTAGATTCAGCACCCTCGTTATGCACTCTGCCATTCCATAAGAAACATAAGGCTCAATCAGATTCAACATCGAATTCAGACATTGACATAGAAAGAGATCTAGGAGGGGGCGGGAAAAAATTGAAGTGAATTACCAGTTTGCTTCTGACGAAGATTGAGTGCCATTGCAGAAGATCAGCTGGTCCTAAAGCGCGATCCACACAGAAATGAGATCTGACTGACGAAAACTATGACAAAAATGTAAAGCACTCGCAACTCGCAAGGCTATTTTTGGCACCTGGTGAGATACTCAAAAGAGTTTTGTTAACACATTTTAGTGTACATTCATCTTGTCTCATGCACATAAAATTATTTGTCCATTGACAACTCTATACAAAATTGTACACCAAACATTTGTCTACTCAAAATGACAATTTTATGTGCGTTAGACAGACGAGTGTACGAAAGATGTACACCAAAATGTCTACATCAAACATTTTTCTATTCAAAATGATTTTTCCATGATACACATGACCAACCCCCATGATTTTTGGGACATTAGCTTCCTAATTTAAAATATGTGTCAAACTTTCTTGTGTTATACTACATCCGTCCTACTAACATTCGGACATTAATAGGTGACAGACACGATTATTAAAAAATGAGTTTATATGATTAATATTGAATTGATAAAGTAAGAAAGACTTAGAGGACTAATAATTTCCCACATTTAGTCTCCCGAGTATTATAAAATTGACACTTTTAGTCCTTCCACTATGATTTTGACACAATAAGTGGGGGACTAAAAATGTCGGTATTATCTTTTTTAAAATGTCGGTATTATAATAGTTGAAGGATCAAAAGTGTCACTTTTAAAGAAAATCAAGGGACTGGATATGGAAATTTTCAAAAACGAATACGAAAGTGTCTCTAGTGCAATAGTCGAGCACTAAAAGTGTAAAAAAAATGAGTACCAAAAATGTCAATGACATAATAGTTGAAGGACTAAAAGTGGCAAAACCTCATTATTGTAGGGTGTGTTTCGAAACAACAACAACAACAACATCCAAGCCTTAGTCCCAAAAGATATTGGGGTCGGCTAACATGAATCGATACATGATATCATCACCAAAAGGAAAAGAAAGAAAATAAAGATAAAAAATAAGCTAATATAAAAAGATAATATAAAACGAGATGAGTATACCTAAAAATGAGAAAATAAAAAGGACAAAAATAATGTTTATATATAAGGATAAAAGAATAAAAAAAGAAAAAAGAAAAAAGATGAGGGGAAAAAATAATACGAGATCACTCCTCCACACGAATACCCGCTCTCCACCTTGCTCTCTCTAAAGTCATACCCTCATCCAACCCAAGAAGAAGCATCTCACTTCAGACTCGTAGGGTGTGTTTCGGAAAATAAAGAAAAATTAAAAAAAATAATCAAAATAAATTAATTGAAATGGCGAAAGAAAAACAGAAATAAGATGGAGCAGAAATTAGTCAAAGCTGGTGATTCGCACGATGTCCTTAAAACGTATGTGTTGCCTCCCTAGGCAGGGGTGTGCACCGGTCCAAAACCGGACCGGACCGGAACCGGAATCATCATTTTCTATGGACCGAAGACCGGACCTGAATCTAACCGGTCCAGACCGGCCCAGACCTGAATTTTCCGGTCCGGTCCGGTTTTGGCCCTAATTGACCCGGTTTTAAAAAAATACATATTACCTTCCGAGTGTTCTTAGCCGACCCCAAAATTTTTAGGAATAAGGCTTGGATGATGTTGTTGTTTCAAACTATAACTTTATGTGCGGATATGCTAAATAAACTAAATAGTTGTTTAACTCATTTATTAATTTTGGAATATAGTCATCAAAACTATTCAATCGTAACAATTAGTTTCCAACAATAAATAGAACTATAATATTTTGTGCATATTAAAATGGAAAAATCTATTGTAGAGTAATAGAAACTAAATTACGACCAAAAGTATACTACGTATAAATTACATGCACACCTGCAAATAAAGAAATAAATAAAAATCAATTTGGAAAAATCAAACAAATATAAGCTACGATCATAGTAGTGCACACCTACACATAAAAAAAACAAATCAAAAACAACTTGAAAAATAATTAGAAACCAAATATACACTCCGTATATATTCGTTTATATAATAAAAGACAAAAGTAAGAAATAAACATAAATAGAACATAATGACTAATTATACAAAACGAAGTATATATTTTAGGGAACAATAGGTTATCGGTCCATTCCGGTCCGGACCTGTTTTTTCCGGGTTTGACGCGGACCGGAACCCGGAATTGTAAAAAAACTATGGACCGAAACCCGGACCAGTTAATACCGGTCCGGTCCGGACCGGTTCATTCCGGTCCGGTCCGGACCGGTTCATTCCGGTCCGGTTCAGGTCTAAAATACGGTCCGACCCGGTTAATACACAGCCCTATCCCTAGCTCGTGATACGCACGATGTCCTTAAAACGTATGTGTTGCCTCCCTAGGCAGGGGTGTGCACCGGTCCAAAACCGGACCAAACCGGAACCGGAATCATCATTTTCTATGGACCGAAGACCGGACCTGAATCTAACCGGTCCAGACCGGCCCAGACCTGAATTTTCTGGTCCGGTCCGGTTTTGACCCTAATTGACCCGGTTTTTAAAAAAATACATATTACCTTCCGAGTGTTCTTAGCCGACCCCAAAATTTTTAGGAATAAGGCTTGGATGATGTTGTTGTTTCAAACTATAACTTTATGTGCGGATATGCTAAATAAACTAAATAGTTGTTTAACTCATTTATTAATTTTGGAATATAGTCATCAAAACTATTCAATCGTAACAATTAGTTTCCAACAATAAATAGAATTATAATATTTTGTGCATATTAAAATGGAAAAATCTATTGTAGAGTAATAGAAACTAAATTACGACCAAAAGTATACTACGTATAAATTACATGCACACCTGCAAATAAAGAAATAAATAAAAATCAATTTGGAAAAATCAAACAAATATAAGCTACGATCATAGTAGTGCACACCTACACATAAAAAAAACAAATCAAAAACAACATGAAAAATAATTAGAAACCAAATATACACTCCGTCTATATTCGTTTATATAATAAAAGACAAAAGTAAGAGATAAACATAAATAGAACATAATGACTAATTATACAAAACGAAGTATATATTTTAGGGAACAATAGGTTATCGGTCCATTCCTGTCCGGACCTGTTTTTTCCGGGTTTGACCCGGACCGGAACCCGGAATTGTAAAAAAACTATGGACCGAAACCCGGACCGGTTAATACCGGTCCGGACCGGTTCATTCCGGTCCGGTTCAGGTCTAAAATACGGTCCGACCCGGTTAATGCACAGCCCTATCCCTAGGTGTTAGGAGCGTTGCAACGATCGTTTCCCAGGATACGATGACTACGAACAATTGTTTGAGCACTCAACAAATTGTTCCAGCGAACGGAAACCAAGCAAGAACACTGAAATTTTCGGGAGTAGCTCGAGGTGTTTTTAGCAGAAGAAATACGTGCAAATTGTGTCTGATTGCCTGTGTTGTTGCAAAGCACCTGCCAGCTATTTATAGAAGGATTTGTTGTGTGTTAATAGAGTTTTAATGGACCTGAACGTTGCACATAAATGGCCAACACGTTGGACATTAATATGGCAAAAAAACTGTCCATTTAAAAAAGCATTAAAAGATAAGAATGTTGGGCATTAACTGCTGTAACACACCAGAACCGTTCTGGTGCGCGACTTGAACATCAGGTATTCTGGTGTAACGTGCGCGACCAGAACACCCCTAGGTCTTCTGTCCGAGCTCTGTAGCAGAGGACTTCGGTTCGAGCAGTTCTGCTGCGGAAGAAGAAGTGTTCTGCCCGAGCAGCAGTTCTGGGAAAAATAAAACGCATACGGGAAGAAACAAAAATTAAATCATATCTTTGGATGACACCCCTACATGCAAAGAGAATCTTTCCACCTAAGAATCTTTCCTCCTTAGAATGGGCTTCCCTTTATAAGGGGCTCAAATTCTCTTGGGTTTTCCGGTGTAGGAAAAAACCACGCTAGAAACTCATACTTTTTCCCAGTTTTTTCCATTCCAACGAGTGAACTTCGAGAATCAATTTCTCATTCACCAGTTATCCGTTATAAGCGTGCCATATATCGAATTGTAGCCCTTAATGAGGGCAATCCGAAGCCACTTTGACCTGACCCAAATCGGAAATGGACCCCACTCAAAATATTGCCCCAAAATTACCATTTAATGCAATTTTAACACATTTTTCCAACAATTATTTATGTGTAAATTCTTCCAACTTATAATTCTTCCAAATTATAAGAGAACTAGGTACATTTCGTCGCTTATAAATGAATATTTTACAAATTATAAGGGACTAAAGGAATACCAAATTTTTATTATGGTGAGCATATAACAATGGCCAGTGGCGTAACCAAAGGCCTAAATTAAGCAAAGGCCGGTATAGTGTTTAATATATAGAGAATTTGGATCAAATAAAAAAAGTTTTAACGTGTAAAATGAGAATTAATCTCAGCCGTCCAAAGTGTCGATCTAATGCACAATAACCCCTATCTGATGCACTTTCGAATAGACCTTATTTGATGCACTTTTCGAAAAGTGTATCAAATAAGGTCTATTCGGAAGTGCATCAGATCGACACTTTAATTTGGACGGGTGAGATTAACTCTCATTTTACACGTTAAGATGTCTTCTCATTTGAACTCATCCCTATATATATATATATATATATATATATATATATATATATATATATATATATATTCTTTTTTATTCATAAAATAAAAAATTACAGTGCAAGAAGCGAAATAAAAGAAAAAAAACATAAAAGTACAAGGAAAAGAAAAGTAAAAAACTAGAACCAAGGGAAATCTCTGGACTGTGATCTGGTTCTCATGCTATGACGTCTTTTATTCTTTTGCGATTTCCTGTAGATTTTTAGTTGCGTGTTCAGGTTCTCTGTTGGCAAGCAGTTTTCGGAGGTGACCAACTTTGATTTACGACAAATCATTCTATTGAATTTAGAGTTCCTAATTTCTTCCTGGATGGATAAAGGAGGACGACGATCGTTTTCCATTGCGTGTCCTAGAAAATCGTCTCAGAAGAAAGAGTCGTCAGAATGATCAAAGCTGTCCGAGGCGTCAGAGTAAGCCTGGAGTAGGGTATTTTGTGATTGTTTCTCAAACGAAAGGAGTTGTTGCTTCTCGCCAAAGGCTCTCTGAACTTCATAGTTAAAAATGAGTTTTGAAATGGTGATTTCCTCATAGTCGTCGCGTCTAGTGTCATTCTCCCAAGGCATGACCTCCTCCTGCTTACCAAAAGATAATTCAACAAAATTAGAAAATAATCTCAAAAAATCATTGAGGTTGGAATTGCCTTGACCCTTTGGGACTAAAATAGAGGTCCCCTTTTCCTTAGCAATCTTTAGATATAAGAGCCTGATTTGTTGACTTCAGTAGAGATCGAAATAGACCCGAATTTTCTGCTTTTCCTGTGATGAACATTATTTGAGCATGTGATTTGGTGAATAAAACGACAGACCTGTGGAGCAAGATCTGATTTGAAATTAATCCTTCTTAGCGAGGATTTTTCTATCTCAAAAATTTCAATATCATTTTCTCTGGAAGCAAATCAGAAAAGCTTAGATTCAATTTTCACGGAATCAAATCCCTCCTCTCCAAAAATTTGGAATTTTTCAAAATCGTTGGAAGAATCACATGACGTGGCATGGATTATCTTTTGAGGGATGGCCGGAGACATTTGTGTAGAGGTGTGGGCAGCCGAGTACGTATATGGTACAACCGGCTGTACGGTGAGCACCGTACAGCCGGCCTAGTAACAGGTCTAAGGGAAAAATAAAAAAAATAATTCGGTGACATTTTTGTAATTAATGCGAAAATCGCGGTTTCTGCTAAATGAGCATTAGTGTACTGTTAATGAGCAATAGTCCAATTTTAATGAGTATTAAGCGTCTAATAATGAGCACCGCGTTATTACAAGAAAGCTGATATCACAACTAAAAAACGGTGTCATTTTCGTAATTTCAATGAAAATCGTGGTTTTCGTTAGATGAGCATCAAACGTATTCTACTGAGCATTAAGAGTATCACAATGAGTATTATGATATCAACTTCATATATTGTAATTCACTTTCTTTTTCTTATTTTTTCTTTTATAAAATCTTATTAATTTATATCTATAATCAATTGCTATGAATTTCAATATGTGAATCTAATGTAATACGATACTTTTGAAATATACATTGTTATGACATTTTAGAAATGAGCACATCAGTACCAAATGAGCATACGTAACGTACAAATGAGCATTTATATGAAAATCGTAACTTTTGTTAGTTGAGCATCAAACCTCTTCTATTGAAATTAGGTTTATGCAACTTAGTGAGTATCTGACATGTTTTGTTGAGCATTGGAAGCCTAACAATGAATATTGTAATCTGCTTTATATATTCCGAAATTCACTTTTTTTTTTCTTTTTTTTTTTCTTTTTTAAGAACTTATTAAATATTATCTATAATCAACTCATGTGAATTCCAATATGCGGATTTAATGTAATTTGCAACTTTTGAAATATGCATTGATATGACATTTTAAAATGAGTGTAATACCTGTACAAAATGAGCATACATTACTTACCAAATGAGCAATGATATCAAAAATGTAAGATTTGTTAGTTGAGTATCAAGAGATTGTCATTGAACATCAAACTTGCTCTATTGAGTATCAAAAGCATGCAATTGAGTATCATAACCCCTGCTCCCATTATATAACCTAACTCTTATACATCTAATATGATACTTTTAGAATATGCATTAATATGAAATTTTTAAATAAGCATAAAACCAGTACCAGATGAACATACATGGTTTACAAAATGATTATCGAAAAACTTAAAAGCTCGTTTGAGTTCTCTAATATGTTCAAATGTTTATTTGTGCATATTTAGTTTACACTATACTCATTTTAATATAACACAAAACTCATATTAGTTTTTGACACACAATATTTAATAAGTAATAAATACTTATCTTAAAAGTAAAAATAGAAAAACAAAACATTTATACCTAAATAAACAACAAATTAAACAAATGATGTTAGAATTATGATTGAAAAAAGGAGAAAAAAAATCTCGACACCATATTAATATTTTATATTATATATTTTCATAATGATTGAATAAAAATTATAGCAAAAGGCTCTTGAATTAAAAAGTAAAGAAAAAGAGAAAAAGAAAACAACAATTAAAAGACTAACCTAGAGACGAACGATAGAAAGAAACAAACGAAAAGAGAAACTAAAAAAAAGCAGAGCAAGCACCATATTGGTGCAGAAGTTGATGGAGCCTCCGGCGCTGAGGTCTGCTGCCGGCGATTTGGGCTGTTCATATTGCGGTTATGACAATTTCGTCCGTCCCTTGTCATACCAGCAATTTTGCCCGGTGAAGGTGGATCCGGCGATGAGGTCGCCCCTCTAATTCTCAGGATATCGCTCTCCTCAACAGCGATATGGTCTCCTATTTGGAGTTTCTTTTTCCCGTTTCGACACTTGAGACTAGCACCCAAATAGTTCGGTGCGAGTGGATCCATCAGAGTCTTAGGGGTTGCCAGCCTCCCACCTGTAGCGTCGATGTGTGTTTCGTTTGTGAGATTTAAATCAAGCTCGTTCTTAAAATCAATCTGATTTCTATTGGTTGCGCTGTAGAGACGATTGAAGTTGGGTATTTGTTCAGTCGCTAGAGAATAAGAAATTGGTTGCTCATCTGCAATTTCTATCCAACTGAAGCGATTTTGGTTACCTGGAGTGGAATGGATGCCTAAGAATCTGTAGTTAGGTGTCATGGTTTGCAGAGCAGGGTGAGAAGAACGGCGTCGGCTTCTACGCCGGACTTCGCACCAGGGTTCCTCCGGATTCCCTGAGTTTCGATATCGCCTCTGTATATATCCTAGATCTGCTCATGGCAATACAGCAATATGCTCTTGCAAGTTGCAATTATTGTCAAAAAAAAATTAGTTTGAAATTTTTAGACGCACATTGTCAAAAATTGGAATGAGTTTGGCAAATTATGTTCCATTATTGACTCTTCTTAGTCCTGGACTCGGGCCGGGCCTCCGGTCCTGGAATGGAGGGCCCGGAACCAGTCCGTCCTTCGCCCGGTGCCGGTTCGGGCCGGGTCACCTGTCCGGTTCCCGGGCCGGGCCACCCAATTGATATTTATTAGAAAATGTATTTCGTATTGTTAATTTTTTCTCAATTCTCAAATGTAGTTCCGATTTAAATTTTTATACTGAACCGGCCCAGCCCGGCGGGTGGCCCGACCAGTGACCCGGCAAGGTGGCCTGGCCCGAACCGGAACCGGCCATAGCCCGGGCCGGTCCCGGGCCAACCTATACCAGACCCAGGGCCCGACCGGGCCTTGGCTCGGCCCGGGCCCGCCCCGGCTCGGGTCCATCACTATTCATGGGGCGCGTGGACTAAATTTTTTAATGATAGTAGTATTGTTTTAACAAGAAAGCTTCATCATGATACCATTTGCTCACCACAAATAAAGGACGTATTATTTGATTTAATTCCAATAAATGTACCATAACTGTATTTAGCTTGTAAATTTAAAACCTCAAATACCGCATGTCAAATAATTACAGAGAGAAATAGATTCATGTGATTTTGATTTCTTAACGACTTAACTAATTGCATTAAGGGTGTTTTTTACTTGGACTATAATTTGCTGGTTTGATCTGAACTAGTCTGATCTCATTTAGTTTCTTTGTATTTCTATAACTATCCAAGTTTGGTCTGATCTGATCTGGGACAGATTACAGTCCAAATAAAAACATCCTAAAACAAAGGATGACACCCCATCCTTTCCATTACAATTTTCTTAATTCTTAGTTGAGTTTTTTAGATTAAGTTTTCATACCATAATACCATGAATAATTTGTGGGGTTTATCTAAAATAAAAATCACTGTCTTGTCTTCTAACCCAAGATGGACTCTGGCCTCTGGGTCTCTGACCATAATATTTAAAGCATGTTTTCTTGGAGTGGATTTTAAACGTCATGCATAGTTTTAGACTTAGTAATACACGTGTTGAAAACTTATACTTAGAGGTGGACTCGGGCCGGGCCAGCCGGCCTGGAACCGGACCGGCCCGCTACTGTGCGGGCCCGGACCGGCCCGGTCAACTGGTTCTTAGCCGGTTCGGGCCACCCGGCCCGGTGGTATAGCGGTCCGGGCCCGGGCCTCCATTTTAGTGAACCGGCCCGGCTGGGCCGGGCCCGGTTCGGGCCTCCAACGGCCATATTTTAAAAAAAAATTATTTTAGAAGGCTCCCAAACGGCTCTATAGCCGTTGGGAGCATAGGGGGGGGTCTGGGGGGTTAGGGGGGGTGGGGTGGGGGTGGGGGGGTCGGGTGGGGGGGTGGGGGTGGGGTATAAAAAAAATCTATTGAAACTCCTATTTTCTCTACATTTTTTACACCTCTTCTTCTACAACTCTTCCTACTCTCTAATTCTCCTACTCTAAATCTCTCATATTCAATCATCTTCATTCTTCATCTTCTCCAAATTCTTTCTACATATATATAATTTATATAATTATTATATCTACTTATATATTAATTATCTATTTATAAATATATACTTATACACATTCATATTATAATTCTTTACACATTATATATACTATATAAGTATATATACTATACACATTCATATTTACTTGATATTTAGTTATTATCCATACTATTGTTATTTACTTATATTTACATATTACATTTAGTTAATATATACATATATATATATATATATAATAAAGTATTAAGTATAAGTGTATTACTCATCTTATAGTAATATACTTATATATTATATAAGTATATAATATGTATTTTCAAGAATATATAAAGTGCAGTAAGTTTCAAGAATTTATTTGACTACCTTCCCGATCGAATTTTGAGCTGAAATTTGGTATGGACAAACTAGACTTGATGAGGAACATGCTCAAAAAATTTCATCGAAAAATTCCACCGGGAACCGCCCCAAACAGTAAAGTTCGGACGGCTGCTCCCGTCCCTCCGGCTGGACCTGAGCAGTCCTATATATATATATATATATATATATATATATATATATATATATATATATATATGCTGTAAAAAAATTCACAACAATATTTAAACAATTTTCAAATTTTGGATGAATCAGGGCCTTCCATATATATATATATATATATATATATATATATATATATATATATATATATATATATATATATATCCTAGATATGCTCATGGCAATACAGCAATATGCTCTTGCAAGTTGCAATTATTGTCAAAAAAAATTAGTTTGAAATTTCCAGACGCACATTGTCAAAAATTGGAATGAGTTTGGACAACCGGTGGGCGTAGCTCAACTGGTAGCGAGGGAGTGTCACAAGGGTTAGGTCTCGGGTTCGAATCCCGGCAACTGCGATGAGGGGTTACTATGCTGAAAAATGCACAGGGCTTCTGCAAGTACCGGGGACAGAGCTCCGCTCTCTATCTGTCAGATTGTGATTATAGTCCAATTTACATCCTCCCATCGTGCCGTCCGGTCGGTGTTGGGGGGCCCTCAGGGGTGGGGTGTCATCCTTTTTTTTGGAATGAGTTTGGACAAATTATGTTCCATTATTGACTCTTCTATAGTCCTGGACTCGGGCCGGGCCTCCGGTCCTGGAATGGAGGGCCCGGAACCAGCCCGTCCTTCGCCCGGTGCCGGTTCGGGCCGGGTCACCTGCTCGGTTCCCGGGCCGGGCCACCCGCCGGGTCGGGTCGGGCCTATGTATTTTTTTTGCTTATTAATACAACTTAAATATGAAATACATTTTTCAAAAAATACTAATACAATAAATTCTAAGTTGTAAGTTTGTAACCAATTAATTAATTAATTAATTTGAGAAGTGCTACATATAAAAAAAATGTATATTTATTTGAAATATGAACTACAACTTTACAAATTACAATAGAGAATTGAGGGGAAAATTAAAACATGAAATACATTTTATAATAAATTGTAAAATACTAATCAATCGAAATCTTCGGCATAGGAGCCACCCTCGGTTGTTGATTCATCCATAAAGTCTTGGGAGGGGGTGATGCTAATTTCTTGACATCTACATATGGCCTTCAACCAATCGTGGTAGCATATAAGCGTCTCAAGAGACTCAGCTCTCAAACTCGTTTTAATTAGATGCCGTTAGAACGTTGCCGGCCGAACTAAATTCTTGTTCCACGACAACTGTTGAAACCGGCATTGATAGCACTTGCATAGCCATCCGTGCCAAAATCGGGAACATTCTTCCTTTTGACTTCCACCACTTTAGAACGTCAATCTCCTCATTTTCGTCAAATTCTACCTCATAATTTATATACAAAGAAATCTCATTAAGTGCGCTTTGTTCAATAGTGTGAGTTGTTTTAGGTTTTTAACGTTTTTTCATAAGATTGCCAAAAGCAGATTTAAAAAGTGATTTTTCTTTACATGAAGATGTGTGTGTCGGGGGAGGGGGCGCGTTGCCATATTGTGCACGAAACTCATTAAATAAGGCATAAAATAAATTACTAACCTCGTTGTATTCAACTTGCGGATCTATGGTGTTATCGTCATACATTGGAAATGAACCAAAAAAGCATTATAATAGAACTTCAAACATTCTTCCAAATTACCGAGTCTATAACGATGATCGAGAATAAATGCAATACCATAAATATGCGGAATTTGTGCATAATATTTTAAAAACTTTTCCTTCATAAAACCACAAAAATAACTCACGTAAGCGGCATTCTCAAATTCATTAAAAGCACCGGCGAGATTAACAACTTCACGAATAAATTCGTTTGCTACATGACTAAAACTATCAGTTGCATTATTAAAATATATCAAAACATTACAATTTTTTTCGCAAGTGTCGATGTGAGCGGGGTTTAAAATATAGTTATCATATTGTCTTAAAAAAGCAGAAAAATGTTCTTTATATCTAAGAAGAACTTTAATTAATTTATAAGTACTAGATTCTTTACCCGTGCGTTGCACGGGATGCATATGTTATATATATGTTTAACCATGTCATTAGACATTAGATGACAGTGGAAATCTAATGAATAGTTTAACTAACTCGGATTTACATATGTTAAAAATTTGGAATGAATGTCTCAGAGCACAAAGTTGAATAAAGTTGGGATCACTTCGTAATAATAAAAATACTTTTCATTAGATATATAAATATTCTGTTACGTATTTGTGTTTATAAAATATACTACCTGCGTCCCACTAACATTGGGACATGAGGAGATGACACGGTTATTAAGAAAAATGAGTTTATGTGATTGATATTGAATTGATAAAGTAAGAATGATTTAGAGGCACACAAATTTTACCAAATTTGGTATGAGACAATATTAGTGGGACTCCCTGAAAAGGAAAAATGGGACAATCTTAGCGGGACGGAGGAAGTTATAACAAAGGATTCATGCAATTGAGCAACGCTAAAAATGTTACTGATTAATCTTTTGTAAACCTTCAATAAGCAAAAACATTAATTGATAGTATAACTTTAAAAAATCAAAATTTTCACATTATAATTACTAATTGCTAACTATTAATTTACACATTATTGTTTAGAGAAAATGAATATGAAATCATTAAATATGGAAACGCAAGCTACACCTTGTTATTTTATATTATTATAGAAGACTATTGTTATTAATAATATAACTATTACTGTACTGCAAGACAATAACAATGATGTTTTTAATTAGACTAAAGTTTTATGATTGGATCCGCTTAAGTTTGGTCTGATGACCTAAACTGATCTGGTCTGGTAAGTGTCAGCTGTATTCATATTTTACTAACTTATTCTGGTCTGATCAAGTCTATGGTATTTAAATTTGATCTGATTTGGTGTAGTTTCTTTTAATCTGGTGTGGTCTAACTTATAATTGAAAACATTTAAATCAAAATATTTTAAATGTTCTGATTTTTTTCTTTGCGTTAAGTGAAGTCCTGCCAATTATGTATCACTATTATTATATTATAATAAAAATATTTATTATTATCTATCATCATCATCATCATTATAGATTATTTTGAATTGAAAATATTCTAATTACTCCAATATTCATGTAACTCTTATTTTATAATGGGTATGAAGCATTAAATGTCTAATTGGAGGGAAAATCATGGTTCCACACCTTGTTACTTTATATTAATATGGATATTCCAATTACTCCAATATTCATGTAACTCTTATTTTTTAATGGGTAT